CCACACCCAACCAAGAGGTCCAGAGGTACAGCTGGCTCTCCAGATAGGAGGCTGGAGGGACAAGCAAGTGTCAGATTTCAGGTACAGACAACAAAGGCCAGACCTGCCAGAGCTCACGCCAGGAGCAGGGAGCAGGACAGCAGAGCCACCAGCGCCGATGCTGAAGCCGGCTGGATGGCAGGTGGACCCCAGGCCAGTGTGGAATGTCAGAGCCATGGAAGGGGCTGCTGCCAGCCTGTGACATAGTATAGTGGTGCTGCTTTAAGGTCAAACATGGAATGAACATGCCAAGCACTATCAATAAACACACCAACAACAGTGACAACTGTCCATAGGTGTGGACATGGGAGATAGCAGTCAGCCAGACCCAGGTCTTACCCAAGCTGACGTGCCCTGTCCCCGCGTCAGTTGGGGCCCAGCCAGAAGACAGTGAGCATACCGGCTATCTGAAGTAGGAAACCTGGCACAGAATTGTCCCTAGGTGACTGCAAGGAGGAAAGGGAGCTGCAAAACATCATGGGACTGGCACTGCAGGGGGCTGGAGGGGCGGAAGGAGCAGGGTGCAGAGCCAGACCTTGGAGAACACAGCTTTCCCACTGGGCTGCACCTCCGGGGGGGTGTGAAGCCATAGGAAACTCCCGTTGCTACTGGGAAGCAAGGCTGGCCTGACACAGACAGAAGGGGAGCCCACGGGAAATAGATGGGAAGGCAGGACCCCACTCCCACCCCCATCCTGCAATCTCCCTCGGGCACCCTTGACAGCACAGTCTGGCCTACAGAGCTCCTGTCCCAGCATCATAAAGGATGACTCTCTGAGAAACAATCACCTAACAACTGCACAGTCATCCTGGAAAAGAAATGTCACCCTCTTAGGTCTCAGTTTTCCTTGTCTATGAAATGGGAGGTTAGAAAGAGTATCATATCAAATTTATAAGATTATTAGAGCTGGGCTCGGTGGCTCAGCCTGTAATCCCGCGCCTTTGGGAGGCTGAGGTGAGTGGATTGCCTGAGCCTGTGGGTTCGAGACCCGCCTGGGCAGCGAGACCTCATCTCTACAATAAATCAAAAAATCAG